GCTACTTGGTCGGTGTGGTTTCGGGATCAGACCCCATAGCGTGGGATGAGACCAAAACACCCCCAACCGGATTCCAAGGCTCCTTCCCCAGACCCCGGTACCACGAACTTGGCAAACCTGGCAAAGGGGGATAGCCGCGTTCCATGGGTGTCTTTGCCAATTGAAGACGACCCATCCAGCCCTGAGGGCAGAGTTGCTTGAGCACATTATTATGCATGACCAGCACTCTGGAGACCTTGGAGGCAGAACGCACCAGCCTGGCTCTCTTGGCCAGGGCCACTACCGTGCTACGGGACGCGGCCTTAGACGCACATGTTTTTGCCGACAAGCTGAGCCGGGGTACGTCCCCCACCTCAGTGACGTAGACTGGACATCCTCCACCCTCTTTGTTCAGAGAATGGTGGGTACAGTCTCGGAGCTTCGGAGTGCAATGAACCAGAGGGTTCAGATCGAATCCGCTAGCCAGTTGGTCCTGCCATGGGCAAACGGAGGGCACCTCAAGCACAGAAAACACAACGCCCTAGGGCGTTGTCCGCTAGCCAGAGTCAGCCAGGAGGCAAGCGCTTATACCCTTCCATGGGAGGGGGTAGTGGCGCACCCCCAGGGAGGTAAGAGCCAGGTGGTGGCTCCTCACCCTCCCTGGGCGGACGTCTACCTGGCAGCAGGGGAGGAATGTTTGACATTCACCTGCAATGGGGAGGGCAGGCACGTGTTCGGTGAATGTCCAGGTCACAACTTAGTGACTACTTCAGGCCTTGGGGAACTCACCTCATGGGGGAAGGGAGCACCTCCCCCCCTCGCAACTGCCGAACACATGGCCACATATCCCTGTCGTACACAGATTGCGCCGGTGTAGTCCGGTTTGGAGACGGTGGATGACCGATCTCTGGACATTTCCAGGTGGTGACATCCGTTTACGAGATACCGCTGAAATCTCCATTTCCCCCTATCAGTGTCCCCCTATTGGGCACTGCCAGGGTACTCCCGCAAGGTGGAAGCAATCAGACAGGAAGTAGCAGTTTGTTGGGGAAAGACGCCATACACAGGGTACATCAGCCGGAACTAAGGCCAGGCTTCTACCCAAATGTGTTCATAGTACCAAATCTACAAGTGGCAGGCGTCCAGTTTTGGACCTCGGCAGACTGAATCAGTACGTGCTCCTCGATCGGTTTCACATGGAGACACCATTCAGGGTTCTTCTCTCCATCCATCGTTTTGACGGGCTAGCTCCGCTGGACTTAAGCGGGGCCTACCTGCACGTACTGTTGCACCCAGTGAGTTGCCATCTCCTTTGAATCGCCCAGCTGGGCCAAGTATTGAATTTCGGGAGCCCCCCCCCCCCCATTCGGATTAGGCACAGCGCCCTACATGTTCACCAGAGTGATGAAACGGGTAGTGCTGCTGCTTCACCAGATGTCGGTATACCTCAATCTGTACCTAGACTTCCGGTTACCAACAACCCGGGCAAGGGGTAATAGCCAAACGCGTCAGGCTAACATGGGATTTACTCCACCAGTTGGGCTCATTAGTAAATCGACAAGTCCCACCTCGACCCAACGTACAGTTGGTGTCCCTGGGCATGGAGTTTTGACACAGAGGTAAGCTTGGCTGAGCTATTTCAAGCGTATTGCTTAGCGCTAAGCAGACTAGCCACATGTCTAGTCAGCGTTCCCTCGGTGTCCCTCCGTGAACTAATACGGATCATCGAAATGATGACCTCTGTTCGAAGGGTCATTCCCCAGGCCGCACTACGCAGCTGCCCGGTATAACGCTTGTTATAATGCCGAGCTCTCCTATGGGAATGGGTTTCGATCTCAGACCAAGTGAAGGAAGCCCTGCCCTGGTGGTCGTCACTGGCCAACTTCGGACAGGGGAGCCCCTTGGGCCCACTCGCCGCAGGTATGACTGGTAACAGATACCTCCCCCTAGGGTTGGGGAGCGCATCTATTGGGCCAACAAGCCCAAGGATATGGCCCCCGCATTAGTTTCGGGACTACCATATCAACCGGCTCGAACCGAGAGCAGTGTACTTAGCACTACCACGCTTTCTACCCGTAGTTCGAGACCACAGAGTT